CCATCCCCTCAGACCCTGGTGGGTTTATCTGTGCATTATATGTGAACAGGAGGTCAGTGCTGAAAGATGTGCCTTTGTAACATCTGCTGCTGGGAGAGAACCATTATAACAACAGTGGGTTCACTGTACTGGGTTCAATTTCAATAAATGACCTGGTGTTATGTAAATCTCTATCTTCAACCATGATCAAAGCCACAAGTTTTCAGTTTTGTCCCTGAGGCCAAGAGATGAATCATAGACATCACTAACAACAACAATATTAGTAGAACAAGAACTGTTTTAGTAGAACCAGGATCCAACCACAGCGTTCTTCATCCTGGAGCCGTTCAGCTGTGCAGTCCGTGCTCCACGTATGTTATATCACCATATGTTCTGCACACGATCCTGAGCAACCATGTGCAGTCAGCTGAGCTCCGCCTGAGGTTCATGCTCAGTGGCGGCGGGACATGAAAGTGGTGTTGCCACCTGCTGCTGAAACATGGAACAGCAACATGTCGGCCAGTGTTTTTGGACCCCGATGGCGCGTTAAATTGTAAAACAAACATAAAGATCAATGGAGCGTGAAGGTAAACAGTGGTTATTTCAGCGGGAGTCCAGGGCTAGGCCCCGGCTTCAGAAGAGAGGAAACATTCGAGATAGATTTTAAATAACTTCAAGTCATTTCAAATACAGCCAGGTTTATACAACTGCACCTGGTTGAATGTTACAGCTGTGATTCATTTTAACTTACAAAGCCCATTATTCCTAATTTCTAAAATCTGCCCCAGGTCATTCTTTTTCTGCACTCTAAATGGATTGTCAGTTTATAAATGTCTCAACAGTTTGGAATTAGCAAAAATATGTAATTGGTGTGTTCTAATTGTGTGTGTGTGTGTATATATATATATATATATATATATAACAAAAATTCACTGACAACTGAGTGATTCAGACTCTCAGAATAACATTTATTTTGTATTATTTATACTTTATACTTTCTTGTGCCCTAATAGGTTTATAACAGAACACAAACATACAAGATATACAGCTGAAACACCACTGTGACAGGTGAAGTTAAAGCTCACCATAATCANATATATATATATATATATATAGATCATAAAGCCTAAATGGATGAAACTAACATGATGTTGGATGAATGCTTTTGCTCTGTTGACCTTGGAAAATACATCATAGATCAGTAACATTGGGGGAATAGGGGGAAAAAATGACATTTCATTACGAGCTTCAACACGGGTTAGTGAGTGAAACTGGTCAGTGAAGTAAAGCTTGACACGGTGGACTGTGTACTGTCGTTGGTTTTGGTTTAAAACTCTGATATTAGCTGCCCTTTACTCTGGATGATTCTCATGATGGACTGGACGACCTCTGAAGTGGTGCCCTGACCCCCCAGGTCAGCAGTGTGCAACTGCAACAGAAAAAAAAATACCAGAATTGAAGTGATGGATGATGGAGATCAGGTTTTATAATCAGGCTCACGGACAATAACTCCTATCAATTCCACTCTTGTACAACCGGACACTACAGCACACAGCACTTCACATCAAGCTCTGTGACAGTGAAACCATACAATGATCCTTTGTGTTAAGGTACAAATGATTCCCCTCAGGACCGATGCCAGAAGTGACACCAGAGCATCCAAGGTTATACTATACAACAATGGCCTGCCAGACTTGAGGCACTGACACGAGTAATGTAAATAATGAAAACTTACTCGGGTTTCATTCATGGTCGTTAGGACTGCATTACGGATCAAACTTGCATAATCGTAAAGCCTGGGGAAGTTAAAGATAAATTGTTGACATTAGAGCTGGAGCACAGTCAAAACATTCCATCTTATATGAAAGCCAGGGGAAGGTATGTATTCATTATGTTTGGAAAGACGTACTGGAGGTGGTCCAGCATCATGCAGCTGGCCAGCAGCATGGCTGTGGGGTTTGCAATGTTCTTGTCAGCAATACTCTTCCCTGTGTTCCTGGTGGCCTACGAGGTTCAGAGGAAAGACCCAAGATGAAATTTAATGTAAAGCGAGGATTTACTGGATATTTGTGAATGGATTTAAAACAACATTTCTAACCAGGGCTGCATCTACGCTTACCGTTTCAAAGACAGCATAGGCCTGACCATAATTGGCTCCAGGTACCAGACCGGGGCCCCCCACCAGACCTGCACACACGTTGCTTACAACGTTCCCGTACAAATTAGGCATCACCATCACATCAAACTGCTGAGGTTTGGACACCAGCTGAGAACAGAGAGCTGTGTTAGAATTTACATTTAGACACACTAGCAAATGTTGCTTTAATTGAATTTGAGTTGTTACCTGCATGGTGGTGTTGTCCACAATCATGCTGTCAAATGTGATCTCTGGGTAACCTGAGGCCACCTCTCTGCAACACTGCAGGAAGAGGCCGTCACCCAGCTTCCTGTTGGTGTAGGAAAACCACACACTATCACAACTAGACTTTTTGGAAATTATGCAAGAGTTTAGAGGCCGGACGCCAAAGATTGAAGATCAGAAATGGGTGAATATGAATGGGAATCTATGGCAAAATTCGATAAATGGTGATTTGATTATGCACTTTTTTCCTCATGAGATGATGGCATTAAATTTAGGGTTCAACATTTTTTACATTTGTAATTTTCAATTTTGTTAACAGAAAAAATTAAAAAGCTGAAGCACGACAGTGACAAGAGCACCGTGCTGTATTTGTCTGTGATGGACAGCAATACCAATCAAATAGACAAGATACAGTCGTACATATGCTGTCTGTTCTCGTCGTGTCAGATTTTATTGTGTTTTTCCTCTAAATTGGATCAGGATGTACAATAAAAGTGAGACCTTGAGCTCTTCAAATATTTATTATGCTTCAAAGCAACAACTACATTTATACTTTGTCTGTAGTCGACGGGTAAAACACTTACATGATGTTTGCCTTATGCACAGCAGTGACCCTGCGGCGACCTTTCTCCCTGGCCAAACGGAAGGCGTAGTCGGCGATCCTCAGAGAGTTGTTCCTGGTGATGATCTTCAGACACTCCACGACCCCTGACACACTCTGAAAGAAGAAGAGGAAATACCAGCTGGAGTTACAGTTACAGCACAGAGGTGAGGTCGAAGTGACTATGATGAAGAAACAAATCCTTATATCGTGGATCATCGTTGGCAGTGGTTCGGTCACAGCTGTAATTTGTCTAAAATGTCTACTAGGCAGACAAATTACACAAAAAATGGTGGACCCATCAAGGTCATAAGGTCAACATTTATCAGTGTGGTGCTGCTATAGGAATTCAGCATTTCCACCGCTATTATCCTTTTCCAAAACAAATGCATTTTGGCAGCCAAAATAGTCAAATTAAAAAAGAAAAAGCTTTGTTTTGGAAACAATCTGAGCGACATCTGTATGAGGTCAGTTTGTACAACTTTTACATCTGCATTCTAGGATAATTTCACTAAATCACCCAACCTCATGTGAGGAGGGGCTTTGGTCTGGTTGTTACAGTCTAAAAAGGCTGAAGTTGTTGGTGACTATCAGTTGATCTTACTGTTTGTTTTTTTTTCTTCCCACAAAAGTTCTAACAAATCTCTAAACCACATCTACAAGATTTATTACTGCTAAGCTACTGTCACTGATCTGAGCTCTGTTTGTGTTTGTTAAGGAGATATAATCTTGGGAAAAGTCTTATCAAACAATAAGTGTGTGTTAATAATGAGCGTGTCCCAAAGGCAACACAAAAGAAAAGATAGGATTCAGTGTCGCCTGGACTGATAATATTTAAGGCATATAAACTACAACTACAATGTAAGCTCCAGCAGCAACAGAAACTCAGACACACCAAACAAACTTAATGATGAATACGTCTCTCTGCCTTAATAAATGCATCTGGTCTGGATGGTCAACTCATTGGTTGTGGTCAATGGTTATTTTCTGGAGAAAAAAAACAAAACATTAGCTGCTTCTCAGCTCTGCTTAACCTCATGCTCCAGGCTGCTGTATTCCCCCTCTGTGTTTTCTCTGATGATTATAATGTCAATGTTCTTGTGGCGAGTTTGGACTCCAGGGAGGGACTGGCAATGCATCACGTTGGCGTACAAGTCCAAACTCGTGCTGATAAAGAAAGAAAGATAAGGACACACAACACAATCAAACGTCAGTAAAGATCACTTGTTGTAAGAGAGACGAAACAAATCAAATCAAAGTCTCACCGGAGGACATTATTCCTGGACTTGACTGATGGTGGCAGTGTGTGTTTGGTTTCTATGTTGCCTGTTGAAGAATTCTGGTTATTATATTTGAGATTGAACCACAGAACTAGCGCTCACATCTGCTCTATGGTCTTTTTGTTTTCACCTTACCTTTCAAGGCAACCCCATTTCGGCGAATGGCAGTAATGGCATTATCCATGTCACTATCAGTTTCCAACGCAGAGTTGACATGAACCACCTCAAAGTCCACTGGTACACAGCTGAATCTATAGCATGGATGAACAGTGAAACATCAGACTCCTGTTTCTATTTTAAAGGGCTGAACATGATTTAATGCAGGTCGGACCTGAAGACCTCTCTGACATGATTCAACAGCTCTGGGCCAATTCCATCTCCAGGTATCAGGGTAACAGTGTGTCTGCCTCCATATTTTGCAGGAGGTGGCTGTAACATGACGTTTTACACACAAAAAATTAGGTTTATCTCTGAATTTAAGACCTCACTTCAAAGTAATTTTTTGACATTTTTCATTTTCATATTCATATCCAAACATGCAGTAGAAAGGTTATATAGTGTCAAAATCCTAGAACTATTCTGTATTTCTAATTAAATTTAACAACTATGTAGCTGTATTATGTACCATTTACTATTTCCTGTGTTTATAAACATGTTATTTTGTGGTGTACGTTTGTTTTAGATAATCAGTGTGATCAACTTACAATGTTGTCTCCCTGTGGTTGAGGATGGACATAAAAGAAAGCAAAAGAACAATCAGTGCAGAAGAACATGCAACTATTTATTACAGCAATAGGATTTCAAAATAGCATATAACTTGTCACAAGTACTTGCTTTGACTTAACAATGTTTATGAAATGATAATATTGTTCAATGGTTATATCCCAGCCTTGTGACTTGTTATAAAATACTTTAATAGCATAAAACGTGTTATTACTACTACAATTGTTATTAGATAATCATAAGACATCTCATCATGTATCTAATGAACTGATCGACATTCTGACACTAACGATCTGAATAAGTTCTTACTGTGAGCAGAGTTTTATTCCTGTGACTTGTCAGAGTAGTTCCAAATACCTAAAATACAAGTGAAATAAATACAGGATGAGGTCACATTCTGGTCAGACAGTTCGACTATATTAGCTTTTGTTCAGATACGACATTCAAATGCAAAGCAACATCATGACGAACACATGCAAAAAATCCAAAAAGGTTTTTTTTATTTTACTTTAGTCGGGTTTCCAAGGAGTCCGCCTCGAAAGGGCGACAATAACCTGGACATAGAGAGAACCGCACTGTGCGACGCCATCTTGACTTTGAAATGCACAAGGAGGAAGTACCATGTTTACGACAACGACGTAATAAAGAGTAGACGCCGCACTAGCTGCTCTACCGCAAGAAATACGGCCGCCATCTTGGACCGGTCAGAGGAAGGCAACGCCACACGCAAGATGCCTGAGCACTATAATAAAGAGGAATAAATAATACATAATATTTAATATATAATAGAAAATATAATATAAGGATATATTAAGGCAATTTTATATAAGTATATATAAATAAATACTTAGTTAAATCCATTGTCACCTGCATAATTCTATCCAAATTTTTTTCTTGGGGTTTTGTCAAAATAATATATGTTTATAGATAATAATTGATAATAGATGCTTAAATTGTTTATTCACGAATGTTCCAATATTCTAAACACGATTAAATGGATTTATTTAATTGTCCGATTTTTACGTGAAATTCTGAATGCATCACGGGAAGGTCGGGTCACATGACGTACATTTTTACCGCCTGGGTGTGGGCGGAGCGGAGGAACGCACAACCAGGAAGACAGATGGGACCAGTCTAACGTTAAAAAGTCTCTGTGTAAATACTCGGACTTTTACACTGACTACCGCTTTATGGCACGTACATTTTAAAGCGGTAACAGCAAAAAAAAAAAACCAAAACTTTTCTACACTGACATCCTATTCTGTCCAGAGTTGAATTTCTACACTGTCGCAAAGGTGACGAAACGCCTTTTTGTGGACGCACAACAGGTAGGTCAACAGGTTTCACCCGTCTGTAAAAGTTGATAAACAGTTTTTAGAATGCTAGAACATCTATATACGGCACATACGTTTATAGTAAATGTTTTCGAGCAAAGCCTAAAAGTCAACGACCTTCAGTTAGCCAAGAAATAACTAAAATTGTCAGGAAAACATTCCAAATAATTTGACTAAAATGTAGCAGTAAAATGTTAAACAGTTGACGAAGACGTTTTTGCACAGGGAATACGTGAAAATTACGCTACGGCTAACTTTTTCTTAGCCGTTATTAAGCTATTTAAAAGTAACTAGAAGTCTCAAGTTGGCTTGCTCTTGGCTATATGATAGCCTTAAGGTTGTGATAAAATTGCTAAAAGTTTACCTAGAACTTTTGATAAACCACTTTCTATTAATTAGCTTCAGAAAATTTAGCTTCAAAATTTGAAGTTAGCCTAGAAATGAAACGAATTACCATATTCATTACAAGAATTATGTTAATTATAGTAAGTAAAGTTTAGCTGTGATTGTGCCTTTTTCTAAGTTTATATATACATATATATATTCTTTTTATGAATTGCTTTTAAATTTAACTTTAAAATAAAAAATGACGTAGTTTCTTTTTCAACATTGCTGTAGTATAAACCATCCTAATGTGTATTATGTATGTGTGTCTCATTTAGCTCAGCAACGTTGCCTCATGAGAATACCAGGTGGGAGGATAAACTTAATTACTGATAATCACAGTCCATATAGAATTTTCTAGTCTTTTGTCTACGTCCCCTATTTCAAAACCCGTTTCCACTGACAGGTCCTTTCAGGGTTCTAGTTGTGCTTCTGCTGGTGGTGCTGTCATGGCTGGTGGGCAGCGCACTCTTCGGAGGCGAAAGTGGTTCGCCCTTGATTAATTTCTTCACTGGAAAGAGAGGTAGATTTTGGTCTATTGGTTTACTTGTTGTCTGACAGATAGAAGCCAGATTTAATGTGTGTATGTGAATGAATGGGAATCTACTGGGATGGTAAAGATGCATGAAGTACAGGTAGTGGAGTTTGACATTCCAAGTCTGATTTTGGACTTGAAGGATGTCATGTGATCTGAAAGAGTCATGCAAGTATTTGTTGTCGTGATTGATAGTAAGATTGTGTGTTTGTTTCTTCCTTCAGGTGCGAGTGTGGAGCCAACCTCTGGTAAACAACAACAACATAGAATAATTTCTACATATTGTTTGATAGAACATAGCTTGTCATATTTATGATCACGTCTGTGTTTATTTCAGCAGAAACTCGTCCTCGAAAGTATAAATGTGGACTATCAGCTCCCTGTCCCCCGAAACATTTGGCGTTCCGCCTAGTGTCTGGTGCTGCCAATGTAATTGGCCCCAAAATCTGCCTGGAGGACAAAATGTATGAGTCACTGCACGTAAAATTCTTTAGTTCTTTTTTTCATTTTGTGTTGACGTGTCTGTGAGCAAATATTTTTTCAAACCTGCTGCTTATTATATTTCTGATCTGGTTTTCTTTGCAATGTGTGCGTGCCAAGATAAATGGGCGTGGACCAAGATAATTCGTTCCTGACATGCATCATCTTTTTATATCTTTATACATCAGATTGGTGAGCAGTGTGATGAACAATGTTGGCCGGGGACTCAACATAGCTTTGGTTAATGGTAAGATAAGCGTCACTTCCAGAAATGTTGACCTACTTTCTGAAATTCCAATTTGCACTAAACCTCATTTAAAACAATATTGAGAAATGGGGGAAGATTGCCAGTTAAAACTAAATCAAAGGGTTTTTTGTTTTTTTTTGCTTCAGGGGTCACTGGAGAACTCATGGAGTCCAAGAGCTTTGATATGTGGGCAGGAGGTAATGAACACCTACAGATGAATATGTGTGTACTATGACCCAGGGTCAGGAATTACATATGGCTTTGGCCAAATGTCAATACAATTTTTACAATGGTAGTATTTCAATGTCTCAGTTCAAACAGAGAGTGAGAATTTTCAAGTGAGTACAGTAAGCTTGAAGTTAAATCAATAAGGGAAGCAAAACATTCATAAAATATACATTTAGCAAAAAAAAAAAAAAAATTGAACTCTATAAACTAGCCACAAATAGGATTTCCTGTTCATGTGAATACAGTACTTGTCAAATACAATCCACACAAACAACGTATAACCACAGAGCTGAACTCCCAAGCTTTTCTGTTGTTCCTTCTCAGATATTACGGTGCTGTTGAAGTTTCTCCGGGTGCTCCACGAGGGAACGCTGGTGTTGGTGGCCTCCTGGGATGATGCAGCTACCAAGTAAGAACAACACATCATGCACAGTGTTCCATCCCATTTCCTTATTTATACTGGCCAACCTGTCTGCCACGTTGCTAAAACAACATCCAGTACTGCAACATTTTTGGCGGTGTTGAATAATAAATAAAGTTAATTTGCCTTTGATTACAACTGTCTGTAATCACAGCAACTACATATATATATTTATTCAGTAGTTCCATGATTGGAATTTATGAAGGTATTGGTAATATATTAGTCCAGGTTTGACAGCTTCCCACAGATTTAAATCACTGAGAGACACTTTTTTCAGACACTAAACAGAAGAAGTAAGATCTTTGTGGGGAAAATCTTCAAATGTGGTTAAAAAAACTTTTGGATAACAGAAGCTCTGTTTCTTCGACAGGATGGACGACGAGGCTCGACGACTTTTTGAGGAGCTGGGAAGTTCTGTGGCAAAGAAGTTGGCCTTCAGAGACACCTGGGTGTTTGTTGGGGCAAAGGGCATCGAAAATAAGACGCCTTTTGAACAGGTACGGATGTCACCACCAGGCTTCACTGTGGTTACTAGGTTTACCTCAGGTTTACTATGTTTCATGGTGTTTTTAAGAAGCAACAGAAAGTCTTGGCAAACACGTACCTTTGACAATGACTTGTTTTCTGTTGGAGCTGAGGTAATGATAGGAGACCAATATTTAGCTGTAGTTTTAATGTTATTAGTTAATTACCAACACAATTATATTCCACAGTATACAAAGGTTTATAAAAAGCATTTATATTAGAATGTAGTCGTTTATCATTCATATTTTCAATTTAAATGTTTATTTTTGTCTAAAATTTTGGAAATTAAATTATTTGGTGTAAATTGATAATTTTAATCAAAATATTTGGCATTTCACATTTTGAGTATTTTTTTTTCCACTGTAAGGATTTACTCCGTCCCCGGCCCCGTTACCCTGTAGGGGGTGCTCAAACACATTTACCTTGACAAAGGTGCAGAACCAGTGGCAAGAACTATCACATAACCTTGGACAAAACTTCAGTATTTAAAAAAAGTGCATTGTTGTAGTTTTTTTAACTTGGTAACCTAATCGCAGGCTTTTTTATTTTTATTTTTTGTTTCCTCTCAGCTTATGAAAAACAACAAAAACACCAACAAATATGAAGGCTGGCCTGAGTCTCTGGAGATGGATGGCTGTATTCCCCTCAGGCCGCCAGGAGCCAGACCACTTGAACAAGAAGGGGTGTAGAAAGTGAAGGACCAACTGAGAGACTTTAATCAGGTTTTCAGGTCATGTGACCGTTTTTGTTGTCCTTACCGTTGCACAGACGTGTACAGACTTCAGAGGTTGCCATGAAACTTGCCATATTTGCTGCATCCACCGATGGGGTTTTTTTGTCTGTCGTTTTCTGTGACCTGGTTTTGACTTGTAATTTGAGGGAAGTAGAGGCCAAATATTTCCTGAACGTGTGGCTGATAATACCAACATCACCAGTTTCACTGCAAAGTACTGCATGTAGGATTTAGTAATATCATGCAGTAATATGTTACATGTAGAACTCTGAAAGTGTTCAGTTTGTCCTCATAGGCGTGAACCGAAAACCACTGTTTAATTGTTATAATTAATAACAATTAGAAAGATTTTACTTAAACAATAAAATTATTTTACATTCTATTTCTGCCCATAGAAATGAAATATAAAATAGTTTCCCTTAAATGTTACACTGTAGATCTAGAACAGCACAATGTAAATATTTAAGGTACTTGAAATCTGACATTTTATTTTGAAATTAATTCATATTTTATTCTGTTAACATAAAATATGCTGTGATGTTAATGTGCACTGTTGTTATTGTCTTAGGACTTGACTTTTAGAACTTGGTGATTGCCAGATGTTTACTGTGTCTTCTGATAGTTTGGCCTTAATCAAATTATTTTTATCATCAAGTCACAGCCTGACAATTGTGTAGATTTGCCAAAACACTGCCAAAGGCATTTATCAAGTGAAGGGTTTGTTTAAAAGAATGGTCTAAAAATAGTGGTTATTTATATTTTTGGGTTCTTTTTTTATTTTTGCTCAAAATTGAATGTATAATTCCTGGCATTCATCAAGCCAAACACGTAGAAAGTTTGTGACATATACAATTAAAAGTTTATTTATGTTTTGTTAAAGGTAAGATGTGTGTTACAGATTTTCTATCAAGACTAAGTTTGTGAGTGTACAGTGACAACGTTAATAAATAAAGAAAAAATATTTGGTTATTTTGTTTGTTTTTGTTTTTCAATTTCTATTAGTCTTCAAATCTATAATTAACTGTCAAGCTTCGAAAGTTCACTAGAGGGCGCCAACGATTACTGGGGTTATTAGGTTTATTCGGCTTAAGGTTGTTTTTCTTTTTTTTCCCACCAAGCGTGAATCCTGCAGTGGATAAACGAATTTTAGCGAATACATCCGTGTGAGGGAGGAGTTCATGCTAATATTGAGATATGTTCCAAAATAAACCATTTCATTGCATCATTGGTGAAATCAAACAATTGCACAAAACACAATTACTGCATCCTACTGAATTGTGATATGAGGCGTTCAAATGTTACTCGGGAACGTTGGAGGTTTCATCTCCACGTTATCAAACGATGGCAAATTAACGTAGCCAAACGGTTTGTAAAGAAAATATTCTACAATAGCAGCTCTTGATAACGTAATGTTACTTCCTGTTCAATATAACATATAGATATCTTAAATTTAGATCTCATTTAGTGGGAGAAGACAAAACAGGTCATTTCACTTATCAGTAGGAGTTAGTTTTAAGGCGACAACAATGGCGCACATCCTCTCAGCTGCATTTTCACCACGGTTCAATCGTGCTTCCGGTCACACACCTTGTATTCTCATCATATAGTGTTGTACATTATCACATATTTTTTATTAAATGTAATAATTTTAAAACTAGTAATTGAGACCATAAATAAATTAGTTTTATATAATATGGTTATTAATTAAAATAGCCTTGTTTTTATAAATATATAGATTCATGTGTTATTATTTTTAAGTAAATTGGGGGGAAATTTACAACTATTTTCTTGTGCTCCGGTTTTAATGTTTTTGTTTTTGTTTTTTGTTTTTTTGTTAATATATTACTGATAGACCAAGGTCATTGTGTATGGGTATAGTGGTTGTTTTTATGGAACTATGAATTATCTGCTTTTATTTGAAAGTTTCCTACAAACAGAAATAGAAACATAAACAAGGTTGAAGAATTTTAAGTAAGTTCAGTTTGAGTAAACGAACTCATCCTTTACAGTGTACAAACCTATGTACAAAGTTAAAATAAGTTAAAACAGAATTTTTTTAAAAATATTGAGGACAATATATTCTTAAGAATTTCTGCTATTGATTATATAGGACGCTTGCGTGAACGGTGAACGCCTCATCACAGAACAAGTAGCCTGTGAATATAGTCCACACTTAGCGGCGCTGCCCTCTTGTGGAGGAAGAGGTGAAGTGCCGGCTTTGGCTAGAAAGATGATGATGGTGATGAGCCTTGTAGCAAGTGAACACAGTGTCAGCAGCAGGCGCAGAGAGGCTCAGTACACACGAGAAGCCGCTAAAGGCCACCGCGTTGCTGCGCTGTAAATTATGTACAGAAGTTACGGACAGTGTTCGGCTTCAGCGGCCGCTTAACGGCGACGCAGCGAAGCGTTGAGCAGGGAAACCGGTGAACCCCGCGGCGGCTGGAGCATCGGCAGGGACTGGAACACGTTCGGGAACAAGCTCCGCGGTTTTTCTCTGTCACGCAGACCGAGGCTCGACGGCTCCACCGGCGATTTTTGTAACCGCGGAAAGCACTTGAAAATGTGAAGGGGAAATTAAAAGAAAGGAACGAAGTCGCCATTGTTTTTATAGGTTTATATATAGTGTATATATAAATTCGTTTTTGGTAGAGGGTGTGATACGATTTTGTAGACACAAAGCCCAGTGTAAATATCACGTCTTTAGGGTTTGTAAATAGATGCAGGGAAAAACGAAGGAGAAAAGGATGTTCGCTGGAGACCGACTTTATCTGCTGTCTGCTTTACTGGGTACGACCATGGTCCACTGAGGTGAGTGATGTTTATGGTTATTGGTAATGAAATGATAAACAGTGTTGCCCTCTCACTGACTATGACCCCCTTATAATAATGACAACAATAATAAGTATCATTCTTATTATTATTGGTATTAATATTTGTTGTCGTTTTTTATTTATTGATATTATTATTAATACAGACCGGTCGGTGGTCACTGCAGGGTGGTTTATTGGATAATAATAGTCTCCTACAGCAGCTTATTAGTGTAAGTAAACATTGGAGTGTGACACAGTGGCAGTCAGTCTCTCTCTCTCTCTCTCCCTCTCTCTCTCTCTCTCTCCCTCTCTCTCTCTCTCTCTCTCCCTCTCTCTCTCTCTCTCTCCCTCTCTCTCTCTCTCTCTCTCCCTCTCTCTCTCTCTCTCTCTCCCTCTCTCTCTCTCTCTCTCTCCCCCTCTCTCTCTCTCTCAGACAACAGCAGCATCATTGAACGGCCACTCTGTGTCTGTCCATGTTCTGAGTCTATTAAGAGCAGCAGAGCCTGTCAGTCACGGTGGTCCTGCCCTGTGTACTGTACATGCACTGATTGTACCGTGCCACCGGCATGGCGTTGATAAAAGTCAGCTGAGCCACAACTGAGCCAATGGCTGTGCATGCCATGCTGCCTGCTCACCCAGAGAGCTGTGCAGATGGAGCTCAATAGGTGGAGCAGGTGGGGTTTTACTGTAAGGGTTTGGGGTTTGATTGTTGTGGCTCCCTGGATGTAAACCCCAGCCCTGAGCAACTCCAGGCATGTACCTGTACTGTGAAGGTATAAAGACAGATAAAGTCTGACATAAGTCAGGGATGGTGTGGATTCTGGATTCAATACTGCAGAAAAAACCTGAGGATCAACCATGATCTCTGTCTGTAAGACAGTAATTCTTGTTAAGTTCTTTTGGTGTTCAACAGTTCTTTTCAAAGCTGCAAATGTAATTAAGTTTAAACCATCCAGATTATTAATTGATTCCATTCTGAGCTCTTTTTTGTGTGTGTTTTCAGTGAGGTAACAGACTGTAGGAAGTAACGTTTAGCTCAAGAGTTGCTGAATAGCTGATCTGTATTTATTTTACTTCCTCTTATCACAACTACAGAGCAGAACAATGTCTAATCAAACATTTGATCAAAACGAGGTGAAGAGAAGGAGGAGGAGGAGGAGGAGAAGTTAGACAAAGACAGACAAAGACAGAGGGTTGTGGTTTGGCAGCGACATCTGAACAACATTCTGCCTTCAGTGTGTGTGTGTGTGTTCTCTGGGCTTGGGTTGAACTGAATTTACTTAAAGTCACTTTGAGGACACAACGGTGCTAATGTGGAACTGTGTTTGAATCCACAGTCTGTCAGTGTGGTTGAGAGCAGCCGTGGGTGACAATTTGAAACAACAATATTAGTCAACACCTGAACGCATCAGGATCTGTCGTGACACGAACTAGGTACATTTCACTGAGGCGTCTCTCACCTGGAGGAGTTGACTTCTGTGGTAGAGGATGGTTCAGCTGGATGGAAACATAGACAACATCCCCCACCTCTCTCTCTCTCTCTCTCTCCCTCCTTCTGTCTCTCTCTCAGCATACAGCACAGTACTGTGTGTGTACTACCTACAGTCTGCTCTCCCATGCTTGACCTGGATTGGACAAAAGTCCTTGTTGTGTTTCCTGCCTTGAGTTTCCCTAATGGTAAGAGAGAAACCTTTGTGTGTTTCATTTCACTGCTGGTCTTTGACATTTTTAAAATAAATAAAGAAAAAAAAAAGAAGCTGCAAAGACTCATAGGGAAATGACACGTGTTGTTTAACCAGGACTTGGGTTTGTTTAGTTGACGTTGCAGTTTTAAGTTTTATCCTCTCTAATCTATTTATGCAAAACCAATAGATTGCATATAAAAAAATGGACAATTTCTTGAAAATGCAGCTTTGGCTGCAGTCTGGTTAGATTTTCAAATGAATCCTCTTTCTTCAAGGAAAATATGTTTACATATCTGTTTGTTTATGTCATATACAAAATGTCATGACGTCAAGTCTTAAACCTGGGGTCAACAACAATTTTTTTGGAAGAGCCAGAATTTTTGTCTAACATTAATATTTTATGTTTACTGTTTTTATATATTTTGTATTTTATTACAAAACTGAAGGTAGTTTTAGTCTGTAATAGTGGCGACCATAGATATTTTGTCTTTGATCCTCACAGTTTGGAATCCAGTCATGGCCGAATTTGGCCCGTGAACCGCCAGTAGATTATCGCTGCCTTAAACTATGGGCAATTGAGTTTAGCCATATTTACTAGCCATGGCGTATGGTCATCAAATATTACTATACAACTTCTTTGTAAACCTGAGAGGTTCAGGTGCAGTCCGTGCACCAGAGATTGATTATAGAGGATCGTGTGTTTGTTTCCACTGCTATCGTTCTGTTCCTGTCAGCGTTCTCAGCAGCTGAGCTGCAGGGATGTACTCAGTGAGTCCTGTGATCTTCAGATTAGTTGCTTTTTGACAGCAGGCCCATTTGAATTTGGGCCAGCAGTTCTCAGAACTCATGGTACTGCTTCCCCGACTCCTCCCCATCAATCAGCCTCCATCTCCTCTGCAAATCTCAGTGGATTTGACTTGGAAAAGGACTGAAAGGTTTAGAGTGTTGCATTAATCATCTGCGGGGAGAACGTTGATACAGAAAGGTGCGGACCTCACTTCTCACTTCTGCTCTGTAACCATCGTAGTCAAAATTAGACCTGGAAAAGAGATGAAGTGCAAATGATCAGAAAGTACAGGAGCTCACGTCAAGGTTGTACCTGAGAGAACACATTAGAACAGGTGAACAGGACGGAGTGTATGTGAGAAGTCCTTAGCGCTCATGATTGACGTGGAAGGTCAGAGGAAAATTTGCCAGACTGGTGACGGCAGTGACGTCGCTTAAATATGACCCGCAAGTCAAAACGTCTGACACAAATGTTTTAATTTAAATTGAGTAAATACAACAATTGTCTCAAGTGTTCACTTTAACAGGTTTTATCTTTTTATCTTTGGTCTGAGGTTTGTTACAGTTGATTTAATCCTTAAAAAAAAAAAACAACAAATCAAAGCAAAAATCACATTTCTAAACAAACGTATAGACTTATTAACAAATCTTTGCAGGGAGTTTTGATCTAGCTGCTTGTGACTTTTAAACAAACTTGTTTTCGGTCTTTACGTGAGGCAGAGCAGCAGGTGTGACCTGGCGCCAAAGACATTCCCAACAAAACAATAAAGTGTTTGGACTGTAAGAGGCGCTTGAACTGTTTGACTTACCCTTCTGACATCAGAAGGGTAAGTCAAAAAGATTTGGAGGAGAGGAGCTTCCCTGAACACAACACAGGGAAGCTCCTCTCATGTGTAGCCGCTGCTGATGCCAACCAAGAAGGAGCTGAGTGTTCAGACGACCTGCTGCCAGCTCTCTGTCTGACTTAGTCGTAAATGACTTAGTCGTAAATGTTTGAAGTGATGCAGGGACAGACCCTGAAAACGTCCCACACATGGTGAAACCAGAAGTTGTCTTGTTTGTGTCTGAGGAACCATCCAACACTTCCTGTCTGCTTTTTTCTGGTGTCGCTCTTTTGCAGTTAGATAGTTCAGTTCTGTCCAATTTTTTATGCAGCCATTTTTTTAAATATACAAAAACATGCACAATGTATGTTTTTCAAAACATTTATTATATAAGATCATTAGAAAACATTCCCTGTTTTGTTAAACGTTAAATGTTAAACGTTTAGCTGTATTTTTCAAATATGAGATTATTTTTAAGACAATATTTTGATACACGCCCCTTATTTTATTATCACTGTGAACATAGCAACAGAACTGTTGCCGTGCTCATCTAATGACTTTGTTTTTAGCCCTGTACGAGCACTAAAAGCATTCCTCCTCATCTCCTCCATGTCATCCTCTCCTCCTCTGCACCTCCTCCCCTCTCTTCTCCTCTTCTCTCCTCTCACAACTGTAGCTTCTTTTGTTCGGCTCGAAATTTAGCTATAGTCACTGCTTTCATTGCACAAACACTGGCACATATTTTATCAGACGAAATCCCACCCAGTCCTCCTTTTGTCCGTGCCACCCCTCCTCTTCATCCCTCTCTCTCTCTCTCTCTCTGTCATTCTCTTTTACACTCACACATTTTTTCCACCCCTCCACTCCGGCTCTCCTCCCCCTCCCTGTCTTTCTTTCTCTGTTTTTAAACCATCCTGCCGCTGCCATCCCCTCCTGTGCCCCTCACCACTTTTTATTCACTTGTTTAATCTGCACGTCCACTCACAGCAGACTCCTCTGTCTGCCAGACCAAATTTTCCCACTGGTGTTTGCTTCCTGTGGATTGATGTTTGCATCCTCGCGTTGGAAGGTATGAAGAGTGCAACAGCTTTTTTTTGGCTTCTGTGTTGTTTTCGACTCAGATTCATGACAAACTAGAAAAAAAAACCAGATGATGTTGAGAATAGAATAGAAAAAAACACACCCTCAGCTGTGGAGAGGCAGAGGTGTCACACTGATTTTTGCTGCACATTTCAGCGGTGCAGGTGGAGCAGCCTCACAAAGGCCTGAGGACCGGAATGTTGCATATGTTCACTTCTAATGAACTGCAGTCATGCTTCTTCTGAAGAACCACACCACCATGGTTCAGACATGTCGACAGCACATGAGCCACTTGTCTGCCAAAGTGAGATGTTGAGGTTTCACCAACGATGTGGGTTTCGTCAACTCTGATTCAGCGCCGTTGTTCACACGACTTGGTGCGTTTGGCTTGTGTGTTTGGTATCACACCATCTGTGTGTGTGTGTGTGTGTGTGTGTTTAAAGGGAGACTGGGTGGGTGTGGGAGACAGTGATGAGGTTGAACATGTTTGGTGTGTTGTGATAACTCTGTCCGGTCGGTGGTTTTCCTGGGAACTCCTTGCCCTGGGGAAACTGGTGAATAAGGCCCAGTTTAAAGGGCAACTTCCCCGTTGTTATCGTTTTCACATCCTGTTAGGACTTTACCTTTTTGTCCCCGTGTTCTCCACAGTAAATCCATCCTCTAATGTACAGCCATATTACTGTTTGACTGTTAAGTGTGGGGAAAAATTAGGCCTGTCAAATGATTACCATTTTAGTCAGATTAATCACAGGTTAGCCACGAATTAGTCACACCTAATCCTGGGTAATCCAGATCAAATAAGGCGTTCTAAATATGACAACACTTTTTTGACAAAAACATTTGTGACTGATTAAAATGATGGAATTGAAGACGAGAAAATCATGGAAAATACAACTCCACATCGAAGAATGTGTGAAGAGTTTCTTTCCAAACGTCAGTGTTCAGTTATTGTCCTCGTCATCATTAATCAGTGTTTAGTTTTCACAATTAATTTGACAAAAGATGTCCATCCGTGTAGTTCAGTGAAACCACCTGGTGAGAACACAGTTCCGTGTGGACCACCTTAGGAGACAATCTTTTTTTTCTTTTTTTTCATCTACCTCCCTCTCAGCCTCCTTTTCTTTTACACCAACTCCATTTCCAACATCCACCCATCATATTCACTATCTCACCACAACACCACGTCCACCACACCTCCCAGACCTTATCTCCAAACTGCTCCACCTTCTCTGTCCCGCTGATCTTTTCATTTCTAATCCCGTCCATCCTGGTTTCATCTTTATTTCAAACTCTGCTGCTATTCTTTTGTCACAAATCATCCCTGACACTCGTCTCCATCTGTTCCCACCAGCCTCCGCCCTTTCCTTCACCTCTTTTGTATACTGTCCATTACTCTGGGTGGTTGATCCTAGGTATTTAAACTCATCCACCTTTACTACCTCTGCTATCGTTCCACTCGCCTCGCTCTCATGTACACACATGTATCCTGTCCTGCCTCTGCTGACCTTTGGGGAGATTAAGTTCCCAAATGCACCATAAGCCTTGACCTTTTTTAAATCAGAAATATTTCCTTATGTCACAGTACTGATGTCTGTTGATGTGAACAGACCTTGACATCCATGCTTGTGCTAACTAGCCTGAAGCAGACTTTAGAGGAACCACCCGTTAATTGTTTTTGTCACGCCTATATAAGAGTATGAATCTATTTTATATATAGCTGTGAATAAAACAAGCACAAAGTTTTATTACATTCTGTGTCCAGGTGTGTGTCGTGGGAAACCTGGTCCTTAAGAACAGGAAGTGTCTAGACTACGGCAGTGTCTTGGGAATGCTGCTGAGCTAGAAACTTTTTTTTGTTTTTTTTAAGAAGCCTCTGAGCAGTCGGTCTTCTTCGAACCATTGTGTTTTTGCTTTGATTGACAGTTATTGGCATCGCACGTCAGATTTTGTTGCTTTGAGGCCTGACGTGAGTTCAAATGACAGTGAGGTGACAAAGGAGAGAAAAGCTGCCGTGAGACAGCAGTCCAGTCCCCGCTGGGCGGTCATTTATGGTCAGGTTTGCTCATTAAAAGTGAAGTAAGCGTCCAGACCAGGGTTGAGTCTGTTTGGCATGGAGGTGCACAGAGCATGGGGCCAAGAGCGACTGTATAAGTGGATATCTTCACAGCGAGAAGTGCCGTAACCCTAGACAGTGTTGCCCAATGGCAGAGGCCTTTAATACTCCTCACCACGTGGTAACTAGTAAAGTAATATGTGTGGTAAAGTAATATGCAAGGTGATTCCAGTTCATGACCTAGCAATGGTGACTCTAAACTCTTAGAGAAAATATCAGCTGCCATTACCAGTCGTTTAGGAAGTTGCTAATTTCCTCGTCGTCCACACAGTACAGAGGAGTTGTGAAAACCAGATCTCAGTAACAGTTTTCTGCCACAGCTTCACGGATGACCACATCAACAAGTGCATCTTTCTCGTGGGTGTGCTGATGTTTTTTTGTTTTTCTATATGAACTTTTACTTCCTTGGAAAGGCAATTTAGGCCTTTTAGCAATTATAGACGATTAACTACAAATTAAAGGTACACATTTGAACAAGAGCTTTGCCCCTGTCTGATATGTTGTAAGTGTATCACGCTATCTTCTGGCTATTATTAGACTTATCTCACTAACTAACCTTTTAGACATTAATTATCTTTGTTTTTGCTAACTTTCTGTTAACGAGGCTGGCTAAGCTAATTCCTGGATAAAATCTAGTATTCTATGGCTTATTAGCTATAATTAGCCTACTTCTTTTGTTGCTGTTTTTTGGCTCATATGTACAATATAGTTAGCATATATATAAATATGTAGCCTAGCTAGAAGATTGCTGGTTTGGTTCCCATTCTTACTGTATGAGTTGTTCATGTTCTCTGTGTTGATATGTAGCTTCTAGAGTTAGGTTCATTCTTGTGTCCGTATCCTTCCCAGTGATCACCCAGGGTGTACCCTTCAGTGTCCACTGCTGGGATTAGGCAGTTACCCCGCAACCCTGAAAAGTTTTTAATTTTAAATTATTTTTTCTTTTGAAAATGTAGTCTCTTCCTTCGCTGGTTGAAATCCTTTATAAATAACTGCTGAGTATTTCGCTGACTGTAGTGGAAATTGCAGATTAGTTGTGATAGAGTGAAGCTTAAAGTGAAGACATCAAATAAATTCCTTTTAGTGTATACAAACACACACACACACACACACACTTACACACAGAGCTAAAAAGTGAATGAGTAATGGTGCTGCCAGGTCAGAGGAGACCTGCTGTCTTCTGTTTCACCTGCTGCTGGCAGATGATAGTCTCTTATCGCCCTGCCGAACAGTTGACTGGGCAACAGCACCGACTAACACAGGCCCTTGATACCTGTGCTGATGACTGTTGTAATCACGCTGCACGTATTTGCGGGCCTTTTTGTGGCAGATGTGTGATAGTCACTCCAGCACAGCTTGATGGTCCCTCTGTGCATGAATTATTCAAACTCAACTGTCCCATAGTTCCTCATCCATTTTTAATGTCGGGGATTGCACACTTACTGCAGCTTTCTGTTGACTAATGGAGACGTTGAAGACAATTTAAACCACGAGACGCTGATGAAGGTGCACTTGATGATGGCTGAAGGCGTGTGTTAGCATTGACCAGGCCGTGTCTGATGGTCTCCAAAGACCATTTGGTTTGAATACCAGATTCTGCCATGTTAAAAAGGTTAGGACTTTCCATCTGGTTTAAATTAAATAAACACTCTTTTTCATGGGGAATAAAAACAGTCACAGGCGATCAATGTTTTTTATTTATTTATTTATTTTTAGTTTAATAAAGGGCTGTTTAGTGTCTTATTTTCTTTAAACATACAATTAGCCATGGACAATCTCCATGCATTAGTTTTTCTCTAATGTTTGCTCAACAGAGATCCTGCCAGATCTCATCACCAGTGCATTAGCCAGACATTTGTAGGCAAATAACAAATTACTACATGAAAAACACAGTGCATTAGCCAGACATTTGTAGGCAAAAATAACAAATTACTACGAGGAAAACAAACATGTTAAATGAGAAGATGATACTGAAACCGAACGGAAACATTTAGCAGAAATGATAATCGCCCAAACATATCAGATCAGGAATGGTTACTCAACTGTGAACAGTTCAAGTGTTAGGTCAGTTATACAGCCAGTGTTCACGCTGCAGTGTCTGCAGTCACTGACCTATATGTAAATGTCAAACAGTGTTCAGACAGAAATCAAGTTGGAGAGAATTCTGAGCTTCTACAACAAACAGCATGATGTCACTGTCCTCTTTTACCTATGGCAGTCGAAGCAATGTTGAAATTTGTTTTGTTTTGTGTCTTACAGCGTTTACAGAGAAGACCATTTGACTGCAACGGCCTGATGCCCCTCCTTATTAAAGGCTGTTATTGGAAGAACTAGGAGACGTGAGGGGTTTCTTTGATTAGTGCTTTTTTAAATACATGGAGGAACTGAAGAAAATGTAGAAAAGGATGTAGAAGAAGGAGGAAGCTTCCACCTACTGTTTTTGTTTCACCTGCTGTTTAAATAAAGGAACAAAAAAGGAAAAAAAACAAAGGCAAAAGATCTGTGTCACCAGTTTGATCAAGGAAAGGCTGCGGTCGATTGCTGCACTTGAAGTACAGCCTGTCAGACTTAGAGGAGTAACTTGGTGACCACAGAAAGAGAGAGACGGGGACTGACAGAGGAGCAAAGGTTTGGAGGAGGAGGAAGAGGAGGAGAAGGGCAAGAAGGGTTGGCCGAGGCCTTTTCCAATGGCTACTGACCCAGGAGAGCCCACAGGCACAGATGACTCCTCAGAGAAACCTGATGGACATAAGGAAGGGGACGCAGCTTGGAAGGACAATGACAACCAGCAGTTGGAAAGGACAAAAAGGACTCCCTCAGATTTTTCCTCCTCTCAGCCACAAACGCAAAGAACACCATGTAGGAAGCAGGAAGGAGGATCAACCCAACGAGAAGGAATGGAGACAACAGTTGAACCCATTTCATTCACCTCGCCCTCCTTACCTCTAGACACGGGTCAGAAAAGACTCAGAGGAGAGAAGCGCTTCTTTAGGAAAAGCGTTGAGATTTGTGAGGAGGAGGACGATGTGGAGGTGCCGACCGACGGACCCCACAGTGCTCCACACCTGGACTTGCATTCCACAGACTCAGTCTTCACCAGCAGAGCTCCACCACAGGGGGTGGCATCGTCCTGTGCCGCCCCTGGCCACGACCCATCGTCTATCAGCACCACCCAAGAACATGGCAGGGACACCCCGTTCTCTGCACCCATCCAGAGGGTAAAGGAGCGGGACCGCGAGCAGGAGGAGGAGGCGGAGATGAAGGCGGTGGCCACCTCCCCCGGAGGAAGATTTCTCAAGTTTGATATCGAACTGGGCAGAGGGGCGTTCAAAACTGTGTACAAAGGCCTGGACACTGAGACGTGGGTGGAGGTGGCCTGGTGCGAGCTGCAGGTAAGACCAACCTTATCCTTGTCATCAATATACAGTTCACACAGATGGTGCTTCTAGAACATTAAAGCCATTCTGTTCTGTCTAATGAATCCCATGAGTCTGGGAACTTTAGCTTTAGGTCTTGTTTGTTTTTTCTGTGAGCCGGCGGTTCAGAGGAGACAGAGGTGAGAAGAACTGCTTTTCTTGTCGGTGACTGACAGCACAAAGGTGGAAATGGAAGCTTTGCTTTTAGTACCACTGATAAAAACAGCAGAAAACTGTCAGAGTTGTTGTCAGTGCTTTTGTTGTGGTAGAGCCAGTTGGCTGGGGGCCGTTACTGTCACTGGCATTTTTTGGCTTGGAATGTTTACATTTAAATAGTACAAAAAATACATCTCTGTGCTACTTTACCCTATAGATAGATTACAAAAAATACATCTCTGTGCTACTTTATCCTATAGATAGATTAGGAAACAATTAAATGATTACATTTAAAAAATGAAAAATATTACACTTTAGATTTAAAAAAAAGGTCATTGTTCTCATATAACCTAACACCCGCCTACACTCACCCATTATGTGATTTAATGGAGTATAAAATGAAAGCAGTCATGTAGATGTGAAGTAAAGGACGTCACACACAGAGGAGACGTGTATATATATGTAACAATATGTCTCAGTAACAAACCCTTTGTGATCCATTGACGCTTCAGTGGGAGGAAAGTAATGAAGCATGACAAATGTTTTACATCACAGCTCTCATGTATTCATTATGCTCTGAAGTAATGGGGAATATTGTTGCATTCAACAAGTGGTGGGAGATTGGGCCTGGTAAAGAGAGAGGAGAAATCCATCCCTCTGACTCTTGGCTCCACAATAGAGAGCAGTGTTTTAGTAAGCCTTCTGATTTGACTGCTGGCTTTGTGTGAGGAAAGTCAGTCATGTGTTTGGTTTGGAACCCGCTCCAAACCAAGAGCCAGTACCGATCCTTGGATTCAGGCCTCGTGTATTGAACTGACAAGCAGTGGGAATGTTCACCTCAACACCTTTTCTGGCTACAGATTGAATGACTTTGACATCAGCAGCAGGTCTCTGTTGATGATATCTCATACTCCCAGAGCTCCTGTTCAGTCCAGCTCAAATAGTCAACTTCCAAATGTCTATTATTGCATCTTCAACGTTATGTTTTACACCCGGACGGCATTCTTTTATGGCCCCTTTCAACACACTGCACTGAGTTTGCTTTGGCTCAGCTGTGTGAGTGAATCTGATCTGGAAAGAAAGTGGGATTTAAGCTGATTATTACACATATTGCATCAGTGATATCCAATTGTCTCCACAAATGCACTGGGTCAAAGTAAATCTCATGGAGAGCATCTGTTCTCAACCCACTGTTTGTTTATAGGGCATAAAAACCTGTTGTACATATTTTAGATCATAAAACACAGAAAATAAAAATAGAAGAATTTGCATGACCTCCCTCTCACAGAGTTATCCTATAACTACACACACACACCACACACTCTCACACTGGCCAGGTGATCTTCTGGGCTGATACATGAGAGAAAGATTAGACTAGATTGTTTAGATTTATTATGATTTATAGTTACTGCTGACAAAGCTAATGCAATCACCACTTTATCCTGCAGGGGGAGGACGCAATAAAATATGTTTTATAGTGACTGAAATGAAAGACAAACAATTGCACTGCCATTAAAGTGTGAGTTTTTTAAATTATTATATTCCTTAAAGACAATGAAATCAAACTGTTCCTTGTCATATCACATCGTTCCTGGTATATTTTATTTATTTATTTTATTATATATATATATTTTTTTTTTTAAAACATGATTTCACTTCCTGCTCCCTCTGTATGCCTTTGAATTTTTCTCCCTCTTTTTGTGTTGGGTCTCTGCTCACCTGTCCTCCCTATCTGCTGTCTCTGCAAGATTGACTGTTGGTGCCTGTCAGCCTAGTACAAAAATCCTGCACCGACAGCACCACTCAGGCGGCAGAAACTGGACTGGTTCAGCCTGGTCACACCAGCCCGACTCATCTCAACCCAGTCCAGCAACACTCACAGATTCAAATATGCCAGAGCAATTTTCAGGTCTGATAACTGCAGCGCTGAAGGCTGCCATAGTGATTACCTCCTTCGTTATTCACTGTTATAGGCTTTTGTCTCAAAGTGTAGGAAGAGAGAAATGACGTGTGGAGGAACTAGATGAGTTTGGTGCCTATTTATGTGAATGTCTGTCTCTATGTTCTGTTGATAAGGCTTGGAAGGAAAATATGCAAATTAAATGTGCTTGTTTTCTACAGCTTTTACACAGAGCAGGAGTCAAATATTTAAACAGATTACATCTGAACTGACTAGACCTTACTGAAAGTGATCCAACCAAACTGGTTATTGACGCATGTTCAACAAGGGCTCCAACGGTTGGAAAGTGTCCCCCAGGCTCTGTCCCTAATGAACGTCCATGTCCATTATCTAACAGGCTCGGATGCTGCTGAATATTAGACAGATTAAACCACACTTTTAAACAGCACAGGCTGTAATCACACATTATGTTGACTGTAATTAATTTAACCACCCATTGAATATGATCAGTAAAATTAAAGAGCCTAAGATCAGGCTGTTATAATATCATGTGATTTAAGAACAAAAACAACATTTAAACCTTTATAAAGACCTGTTAGGTTCACAGCAGACATCATGTTGCACGTTCAACGTTCTAGTTCTCCACTTGACACTTGGCCACAGCGTGTCTACAGAAGACGCCTCTCCTGGCCTTGTTAATAACACTTCAAGAAGCGTGTCTACAGAAGACGCCTCTCCTGGACACTTCAAGAACAAAAGAAAGCAAAAGAAAGCATACAGAGCAGTCAGTGTCCACTTGCTAACAGGCATTAGCTCTACGCTAACTGACTTCAAATCAGGCTTCAAAATAAATGCCCCAAAGTCTTTAAAACAGTCCAAACTGTTTAAATCTAAAAAATCTAAACTGTAGGAGCAGAATAGAGACATACAGACAGACACTATCAGTCTTGACAGTTTCAGTTGTTGTATTTGTGTTTACTGACCAGTTGGTAAATTCCCTTACAAAAAAAAAAGCTTAATCCATACCTCTGTGTCACATGGACCCCTTACTTAAATCATTAAACATTCAACAGCACGACAACATGTGACCTCCTGCTCACATGTGGATAAACAGGACTGCAGTTTTGTATTGGCGAGATTAGGATCTATAGAGGTTAGTGAACTTGGCCCAGTGGCCTGGGGTTCTAATCCAACATGCAGGTCAGGCCTTTTCAAGTGTTCTATCCTGTTAGTCTGAGCTGTTGTAGCTTACAGTAATCTAATCCTAGCCACCCGCCACCTTGGAATTCTAAGCGCACTGACACGCTCACAGATCAGAGCGACATATTCCACATACGACTTTAAAAATACACACATCTGTCAGATCCAAGGATGAGGGACAACCAACCATATTGATAGTATACTGGTTGAGTCACACTACTCCAGGTAACCATGTGATCATGTGTAATGTGTATGTTATGTGACACTGGTGCATACGTTGGCCAGAATAGATATTTTATGGTTTGCATGCTTTGGCATTTGTGGCCTCAGCCGTAACACACCAAATGTGTCTGGTCAGCCGTGTCCTGTCGGTTTTATGAGGCTGGGCAACCTGCAGCTATGACCTTCTGTAAACAGATGCCAGATCCAAAAAAATCTCACATGGTACAAACAGGTCTTACCCAGTTTACTAAGGACCAGCTGTTACAGCAGTGTGTGACGTGAGGGACTACAGAGTTAGGAGTTTTAAATAAAACATCAGCAAACACTGGTCTTGAAATTGCCGGGTGATCAGAATTCGAAGATTGAGAGGCAACAAACGTAATATGTCATTTTCACGTACAGTATGTGGTCTCTTCTCCTGTGACCTGTCCAAGTGGTAACTGATATGATTATTTAGTAACTCTTTCTCTTTTTTTGTTGTCGTTGTTATCTTTGCCGTGGTTGATTCAGTTGGTTAATGTGAGCGTTTGGCATAAAAAAATGAGGAGTATGATTATCACTCTTTTGACTTCACTAACCAGTATTCACTTCACATTTCAGAGAGAGGCCTCCTGGCCGCGGTAATCATAATGCATCGGGTTTGTTTCTGCATCAATGAAAACAGGGCTTTGGCTATTGATGACATAGCTTTTTTCATGTGGATGATGGGCCTGTGCTGATGTGAGCGATGGTGTGTATGTGCATGTCATAGAGTGGGTACGCACCGGGGAGCAAGTTTGGGTGAATCTGTCTAGACGCGGTCTCACTGGGTGAACTCTTTACGACCTCTGCTGCACCTACGGCTGTGCGATGCCACACTCAGACAGAGGCACAATAGTTGATGAGGAGACAGGGACACATAGGCAGCATTCTGTGCCACTGTGGCGGAAAGTAATGCAGATCAGAAGCCAGTCTAGTTTGTATGATGTCCTTTTTTAGGACTCACTAAAGCTTATCAAAAAGATACAAATTTACAGGTATCTGCTGACGTTTTTAGCATCTTTGTGTTTCATGACTAAACCCAAAAGAGCCTGATATACTTAGGATTAACAGATGTATATATTCCTTATTTTTTAATAAATAATAACAAAGTTGATTTTTGTTTTCTTTAAAGTTAAATTTCCTCCATTCCATGCAACAGCCCATTGTACATTTACATGTATGTACATGGGAAGCATGCAAGAGGCTCTGTATTGGTTTGGGGCTACATTTCACCCAGTAATGGAGGGGGGCTCCTCAGAATTGATGGAACCATATATTTAAACAACCTGCACTGTTGTCAAGAATAGTAATTCTGTACCTAAGAAACAATAATTGGACATTAGCAGTGGTTCCTGGACTGATCTCAGTCTGGATGGTTATCCATGTGACTAATATCTAGGTCCTTTGTGCAGTTAAACAGAGGCAATATAATTCTTGAATAAAGGCATTCTAGAAAGCTATGTAGATGTGCAGGTTCCATTTAAGCCTAAAAATGGAAACATCTCGTCACACTGAGAGATATAGGCTGATGTTCAGGAGCCTCTCATTAGGAGAACGAGGGCTGGATTATCAGGGCAAAATCTTTTTCCCTTAAAAGCACTGAGGAGAAGCCTTTTTTGTTGATGGTAATTCACCCCCGGAAGGGGAGGGATAGAAAGATTGCATCTACCAGTGCTTCCAGAAAAGGACAGACCCCGGTGGCCAGTATAGACAAAGGGCAGAGGACAGATCACAGACGTGAAGAGCAGAAGACACCGAGGAACAGAATGCAGTGCAGCAGATGCTAGAGAAAACATATGCAGAAGCAGTTCAGCTGCAATTTTATTTACCTCCCCAGTAAACAACATCACATCAGGAAGTTTCACATAAGGCAAAAAGCTCGGCGTCAATGAAATCGATCAGTGGAAAGCCTGTGTTATGATGACCTCTATTTTTACTCAGGACACAACAATAGCTGCCATCGGACTCCCTCAGACACGCTGCTGTAGTTTGACTTACACATCAATAGTGGAATGTTCCCCATTGATCAGAACGGACCAGGTTCCGGATACAAACCAGAACTTCATCTGTGTCCTTCAAAGCTTCAGTACTTAGGGTTAATATTAGGCCAGCAGTCATTGAACTCATCAGCACAATTTAAAACTAACCAACGACCACCGACCAACGGCAGGTAACGGGGTCAGCAGAGGTGGTAACAGCAGACAAAACAGTTGCTTGTGACAAGGCTAAAAATACACGTTGACTTAGTGGAGCCGAGTCTGGTTTTTACTCCGCCGTGAGATCCTTTTATTGTCTGCATTGTGTTTATTTCTTACACGTCGCACCATCCTATAACATGCTCATTGACAAACAATGTTTCATTGACTTTGTGGTGAATTAATCTAAATAGATATAACCACTCACAGTACTCCCTGAGTAGTACATGTATTATTAAGTAGAGCACTCTGTGTATAGGAAACAAATAGATCAGAGATAAAAGACAAGAGTCCTTTTTTTTCCTGTGCAGAGAAACAACCATATGTAACTCTTTAAAGCCCTTATCTTTAAATAACCAGTGCAGCAGTATTTAAAGAGAGAAGGATTTGAAAA